ACAGAACTAGGTGAAATTAACAGATTAAAGGAGACCAGTTTAGTAAACAGGGATGTGCAACTGGAATTCCAGGTAGAGAGCTTTATGCCAAACCTACCCATTTGTTAACAAGATGCAGTACCTGATCCAGCCAGAACGAGAGAAGGATTAAAAGAAGTTATTGACACATTGTTAGAGCACAAGTGTTATATTTCACCATGTCTACACTGGCTAAATCATCTTTTGCAATTCATAGCTAATCTACTAGCTATAGCCTCATATATCAATCAGCTCATGTTGGATATGGTTAGAAGCTTAGAATTAGTCTAGGGATTTACTGCTAGTCCATTTGCAGATTTAGGTCCCAAAAGAATGATTTCTGTATTATTCAATTCCCTGTGGATATCAGGCTCTATACGTGCTTACAACAAAGAAGCACCTCATTCATCCTGTCATAGGCACTGGCACTGTCTTTAGCCTCAGGCCCTTCTTAGTTTCCACTCCCCCTGCCGTCACTAAGGGCAAAACTTTGGGGGACATGAGCTCTTCGTTTTGCAAGACTAACTGACCAGTAGCAGGTAAAAGAGCGAGGCCTTCCTACAGTCATGATATTTCAAACCTCTGGCTGGGAAGGTGTGGTTGATGGCATTGGTGGACCCCATTGACTGGTTAAGCCCACCTGGGTGAGGTCATAAGCCTGGATCTAGTTTGGGCACCCCAGGTGTACCTCCCACCTGGCTTCATGGCTTTAGAATGAGCATGTTGAATTTGGGGTCTTCATAGGTGCTTAATGGTTGCCTGATTTATGTCCAACCTCCTCTATGATGGCCTTTGCAGGCATGGGAGGGACAATCCCATGTCCCTAAATCTAGCTACCAAACAAAACAACACCTTATGTGTCAAGTTGCATCCTTTGCTAACACTTACTTTTGAAATATACTTCTAGGTGGGGCTAAATAAGTGCAACCCCATCAGTTATATCCAGAAGGGTATCTATTTTGCCTATGGAAGCCCTGTATATTCATGTTTACTGACCAACTAGACAGGAATTGGCACTCAATGATATGTCTCTTGCTCATATCATAACCTACATGCCTATTCCTTTAAGTACCACAAATAGAATGCCCAAAATAACTAGGCTACAAATCCCCATTCTGTTAGGACTCAAAAGCTAGGGAGAGTAGTGGTTATACTGGAATGGTCTCTGCAGAAAAAAATATATGCAAACTCTTTATTATATTACAGGATCAGATCAGCTCCTGAGGAGAAGCTGTTCTCCAGAATTGGCAGGGTCTAGACAAGAACCTAAGATAGAATTTGAACCATGCTCAAACTTTATTAACGTTCTTCTCCAGGACCAATCTTTCCTGACAGCAAGTACAATATACTGAGACAAAGTTTCTTCTTCCATGCTTACAAGGAGCATTGAAATCCACAGAGGCAGTTCCACCCAGTCCTAAAGTATTTCTATAAGTCAGAATTGACTAGCTAGCAATAGGAGAACTAAGTGTACGTAAACGCAGAACAAAACAAAACCCTTCATTTTCATGGAGTCAGTTATAATTTATTGCAACCCTCTAAGGCAGGGAGAACTGCCCCTGTGGGCTTCTCAGACATTCTTTTTTAGGGGAGTAAAAGTCTTGTCTTTGAGGTTAATAGCCCAACACCTAATTTCTGTGTAATGAGGTCTCAATTTTTTTATCAATTAATTATTCTAAAGTGAAACATTTTATGAATATAGGTGTACAACTGTATAACTTAAAATTTGATTCTAAATGAAAAAATTAGAAGACTATTAAAATATTGCATCCTTATATCAGGAGTGAATATGTACAT